TCTTTTAGTTGTAGAGAAGAAGTCGCTTAAAGCAATATAGCCAAAAAACCTTTTTTTGGCCCCTTTTGGCTCCGCCCCTTAGCCCTTTGGGGGTTAACCCTACCATTTGTACACGTTGAATCCCCACCACTTAGGGATGCTTTAGTTAAATTCCAATTAGTGGTTAAGAAGAAGTCGTTTGAAGAAATTGTTGACGAAGGGACGACGGACGGACGACGGACGTCACGGTATGGCTAATACAATCAAAATCCTCATCAATTAATGATGCTTACATTCAATTTTGTATAATGTTTGTTTTGAAGTCCGTTTTAAGTTATTATTTACAGGCGGAGGATGAATGACGGACCCGCTATAACAAAAGAGCAATTAAGTCCTTCGCACCAGCTTATGATAATCGGAATCTGATAGGTCTCACACAACTAAATAAGCCAAACTGTAAGTGTTTCATACGATTGTAATACTTACCTAAACTTTGTTCCGGTTTAATACAGTGCTTTAATTTAATTAATTTAAAAAAATAATTGTTGAAACATGCTATCTTCGATACAACTGACCTAGATACATTGCCATTCCCAATATAACTCATCCTTACTCATGGCAAACGCAATATAACTCATTTGGAGTCATGGCAATATCCGATGTTACCCAACTTGACACATGGTCATGCCCAATATAACCCTGACTGATACATTGTCTATCTTCTATAAACCATCTTGACATATTATCGTACTCAATGTAACTCACCTGAACATTTACTGTACCGGAATTCAATGTCATCCAAAGCGTAAATCCCATCACACTTAGACCCATGTATTGCATTGGCGGTCAAGGTCATTTGCTTGTTTGTCGGTGTCAGTGGTATATTGGCACACACTTCATACCACCTATAGCCATGGTCTCCATGGGCTACAAAGAGTGGTACAGAATCATTTTTAGATTCCTCTGCCCCTACAGAGATATCTAGAGAGGTCATATCTCCATACATACGGAAGAAAAATGAAACAGAGATGTCTTCTGAAGGTTTTAGTTCGAAAGTTGGTGATTCAAGGGTTGCAATGTCTCCATCTGAAGATTGTTTACCGTCACACTGCCGGGCACACATCATGGAGCCTTCAATTAGAACAGACATATTTGTAAATTATATATTACAAAGGAATATTTCAATCTAGGATATGTACATTTATTTATGTCTTGGACTGTCAGTGAATGTTTAAATATAGTTCAGATTGTATGTCCACTATATTAAAACAAATCCGATACAAAATTAATTATATATTTCATAAATCACTATATATGAATGACGCCCTGTCCCGCATTCCACATTAATATGGCTGTCACGGGCATTACAACATTGTATCCTTTTTTCAAGGGTATATCTTCTTTTCAACTTTTGCTCGTTTTGATGACTTTTTTTCCCTGTTGTTGTTGTTTTTTTCTTCTTCCTTTTTATGTTTTTATTAACTAATTGTGATAAAATACACAAAGATTATACTTTTATACATGTCTACGAAATTCCGTAAGATGATAGAATGTTTAGCAGTTCAATAGTTATAGCCCAGCGAAACCATTTCTTGCTGTGTAAATGTACTTTGGTCACTGTTCATGATGAAATATTGAACACATTATCTAATTACATTAATGATGCCTGTATATATAACTACTGATGAATTAAGTTTAAAAATGTACGATCAGTAAAACGTTTGAAAATGAAGCACTTAATTGACTTTGCTCGTGAAAACCGAGTGAATGACACAGAGACGTAATTATCCATATTGATTAATAAAGGTCCAGAGAAGTTATAAATACAACTACTGCAACTATCCTTCAAAACATATAACAATCTGGGTGAGAAATGGGTTACATGCCTTGTGGAAGTTTTGGTGAAGCAGTTTTTCTTTAGTATCACCACTCTTTACCAAAATATTTCAACTAATCTCACTTTTGTTTGCACAGGAAAGATACGACTTATATGTATAAATTCAGTGATTGCCGAACATATACTCATGTCAAGCAAGTCTTTACTTATATCAATACTTCCAACAGATATATTTACCGTACTTACCTGGACCAAATGGTGTGTGATCCATACCACCACAGTATTCAGTTTTGAAAAATGCAAACGATGAATTCTCCGAGGTTCCGGTAATGTAGCCGCAAGTGCTCGAAAGTTGTTCAAAGTTACAGTTGGCTATATCTGAAAATTCAACACATTATCTTATTATAATTTCGCAGGCAATATACAATCACATAATTGAAGAGTGTCCTTGTCAATCAATCCGTCCAATGTAAGATGTGCATGGAGTTGATATCACTGATGATATGACCTATCACGACTACGGTTTGGGCTTATCTGTACATTAAGATTTGGATAAGTACTAACCTGTACGTCA